TCACATAGAAAAGAAAGTCATATTTGAGACAAACAAAAAAATGAATATATAAATACATACATTGAACAAAATAACCTAGACTCTTGCAGGATTTTGACTGCCTGCAAGGACAATCAGGATTTGTGTGAGGTCTAAGGATGACCTTGGTGTGTTTTCATATTTCAAATAGGAACAGGGAGCCTGCTATTCCTGGGAACTCTGCTGAGAATCTTTCCATTGTGGGTTTCTCCTGGATTATACCATTGCAATGACTTGACCCTGAAATAGAAATGTGAGCCCCCTACTGAACAAAGTCTCTGCTATCTATTTTTTGTTAGGAATAGCCCATTATCAATAATATTTTAAGTCAAAGAAAATGCCTTTTAATGATTTTATCAGAGACTTTTAAAGGATCTTAAACTGTGCCATTTTGATTATTTTACAGCTGAGAGAACTAAAACCCAGTTAGTGGAAAATCTGAGCCCGGGAGCCTGGGGATGTGGCTCAATGGTAGAGTTCTTGCATTGCATGCTAAAGCTCTGGGTTAGATCTCCAGCACACACACAAAAAAATCTGAGCCTAGAACCAAGACCTTTCATAACCTGTACCACAGTCACTTATTTCAGGAAAATCATTAATGCAACCCTTTCTTATCAGAGTTTTCATACCTCCATTATTTTAATGCTATTATAAGAAAGTTCAATGCAATTTAATGTGTAACTTACTAATTTACTTGTTAAATGTGTGTAAAACATGTGTAACAAACAGTGTAAAATCAAACAAAACAAAGGAGTCAAGTGTTATAGATGACAATAGAAATATAACCATCCCCTTGCTGAATTTATTGTAGATTTTACCCTTTGACTTTCAGATGTTTCATGGCTAGCATGTGCATAAAACTGCCTTCATCTTTCCCGTGTGAATCAAATTTTTAAAACTATACATTGTACAATGGAGCTCAGTCTTGATGGGAGAAGAACTTATAGCTAGCCCTAGAAATTTAAGATATTCCTATTAGCTATGTTTATGTTCTGTTGCAAACCAACTCCGCTATGTTACCTTACTGCTTTCCTACTCATTTCAAGTTCTAAGACCTGGCTGTGTGGTTTTTCTGAAACTGTCCTCTATTTCCTAACTCTAAGTCCTATGTACCTCAAGTTCAGGCTCAAGTCCTACCATTTCCATTAAATTTTTCTCTAGAAGTTATACCTTTCCTTTCATTTAAGCTCTTAAGAACTTACAATCTATACCACCAAATTCTATGTGTAATTATACTCAGTTCAGTGTAGCTTGTCAATTTATGTTTGGCTAACTAAAATTTGCACTTTGTGAAAATTTCCATGCAAAGATTGAATGTCTTCTTTATCTGTATAATAGCCAGCATTATATCGCAGAAATGGGTAGCCCAAACTATTTGCTCTTGATTAGCCTGTGATTGAGTGGGGGCCTATGAGATAGGAAGCACAGACTCTGCTACTGAGTGTGGTTCATGGTCAGGAGCATCAAAAATCCTTAGGTCTCATCCTACACGTACTGATTTTTAAAGTTCAGTGCTTTGAAAAATATGATTAACAATAGCTTAGGTGAAAGACACATAGGTGGGCCACTGACACTAAATTGTGACCCATATCAACAAATGCCAAGGTCTCTTAGGTACATGTGCTCAGAGGGAAGCATTGCTTTGACATTTAGAGGCACCAACTACTTAGAGAATCTGGTGAATATTCTGAATCCTTTGTCATGAAAACAAACATAGACACATACATATAATATTTTACATGTAATTTATGAGTGGTATAAGTGTTTAGAAAGATAATTTATTTATCTCCTGGAGTGTTTGGTTACATACTGTATGTTTATTGTTAAAAAATAAGAGGGCTACAGTTGGCTTTCCTCCAAGAAGATAGTCTTTGATATTTGCAGTAGATGTTTGCATGGACAATAATAATCACTTTCAATGTTACCCCCACAGGTTCAGAATTAGTGTGTAAAAGCTAATTTACATGTGAAAAAGGTCTTCATGTGATGGACTTTATTTAGTTCAGTAACAGAGTAAGCTTTGATTTAAGCAGTAGTCTGTCATTCTACCTAATTGTGTACTTATTTTAAAAATCTCTTGTTCTTTGAATTCAGGCAAAGAGTCACAATCTGCTTTTCATGTACTTTAAAAAGACTTTTGGGTGATAACCTGAATTGCTCTTAATTATCAATTAAAATTTCCCCAAGTAGATTTTTAAAAGTTTAGATGATCCCAATTAGTGAGGACCACAGTTTTAACAGCAAGAATAACGTTGATTACTTTAGGTATTCTTTATTATATGAAAAGGCATGACCAGAGATCTCAGATCAAAAAGGGAATTATGGAAATGGATCCTAAAAATAAAAGATATAAAAAGGTTGACCGTCAAAATTGTCGTCTGCAGTGGTTTTAACTTCTTCCAAATTCTAACAATATTAGTTTGAATATATTATATTCCCATTTATCCTAAAAGGAGTGGTAAGTTAATGCTATATTTATATCTGAAAACTATTCTATTTTATACTCTTCACTAGTATTTTCTCTCAAGAATAATACTCAAGCCTGTACTTAAAAGGCATTAACATTTTTCTAGCCCATCCATGTGAAATTGGGATTAAGCTGTCCCGACTCACTAGGTGGGATAGTGAAGACACTCAGAATGTATGCAACCCCAAACTCCTCTATCAGTGGTACCTTCAAAGCAGTGCTCAAGAAAATTTGGTGAACTCACTGAAGAGTAAAGAGCTTCTGGGATGTGGGAAAAGAGAAGGGAATGAAGGAGAAATTTTGTATGCATGTATATACAGGATAGATAACATAGTTGTTCTTCTGTCTTCTATTTCTATGCTGAAAGAAACTGTCAATGAGTCTTGGTTGACCAGTATTGCATGTCTATATCTCTTTTCATGAGAAGCCACTTTGAAGATATCAATATGTAATACAACCACCATTGTTAATTCCCTACCACTTTGTTTGGAACTCTGTATTGTCTGTATTGTGCTTGTGATATGTTGTAAAATGTTGTATGTCTGTTAATGTTTCCCTCCTTTTACCTTTAAAATAAAAAAAAATTGCCAAAACACTGAAAAAAAAAAAAAAGAAAATTTGGTGAACTAAAAGTTGCTGAGAACTTCTTAGAATCAATTATGCATCAGGGAAAATTAATAGTTTAGTAGTGTGAAAAAGAGAATTCTTGTTAGCCTGAACAAGCAATGGACAGAAGAGTTACATAGGAGAAATTTTAGAGCTGGTCTCAAGAGCTGAGTAGGAATAATAAGATATATGATAGATCTCCATCACAAGTTTCAGACCACGACACATTCTTCATTACGGTGACAGTGGGTGACAAGGCATCTTGGAAGAACTGAGGTTAAATTCTATTTAATTTGATTAGATTGTACACATCTGTGGAGCACTTAGCTCATGCCAGCTCTACTACTTGGTCAATGGAAAAAATGGGAGTTGGAAGCAGAAAAGGTTAAGGTTGGTGCAGTGAAAAGACACCTTCTTTACCCTTAAGAATCTTGCTGTGTATTTGGGGAAACAAGCACAGAAGCACTGAAGATTAAATAGCTGATGGCATGTGGAGGAATTAAACCTTGGGAGACTGAAGAAAGCCAAAGAAGGAGGCCATATTTTTTCAATCCCTTATGGCTTTTATTTTTCTTACCCTATTGTACTACATAAAAAGCTATATTTGCATATGACTGTAAATCTAATTATGAAAGTGTAACTGTATGATATCACATACAGGAGGTCAGCTGGGGCCCAGAGATAGTTGGAACAGTGGGTTTCTATGGAGCCTCTGAAATTACATCTGCAGGGATTCAGCTTGACCTGACCGCCCCCTTGGATTTTGACTGCTATAACTGCCCCTGAGTGACTCTGTTTGGTTTTTCCCATGTAGTTTCCCAACATACTATGAGTAAACAAAATAACTCAAGTGGAATATGGAGCTTCATGTCTGGATACTTGCACCAGGATTGTGCCTGAATCTGATATTAACTTGAGACAAGCCAAGTACAATCTGGCCTAGGAACAAGCCACTTTTGTCCTGGTAATTATATTCTGCTTTTACCCAAATCGTGTACTCAATGGTCTTTTGGCCACTCCAGTCATATTTCTGTCAGAGACCCCAATATATTTCATTCTGTGGGAACTTGAATCTGCCTGTCCTTTTCTTTGGTCTCAAAGTAACTGGCATCCCATTCTCATACTTGACCCAGTTTCTCACATCTCTCAGGCAGTCACCTTTCCACTGGCAGAAGTTTTGGTAAAGTAATTCAGAGTGAAAATCAGATCAGCAGCTTGTGGGTATGAATCCTTATGGTCATTTTGAGATATATAAGCTCAACCAATGCCAGCCTTGATGAAACTCCTGATCAAAATTTAAACACTGGCTTAAGTTTTATATGGTCTCAGAGAAAGTCTAAACATGTCTAAAACAGTTAGGAGACGGAGGGCAGAATGAGATGTGTACATAACCATCTTTCATTCTTGTTTTTCAATTTACCTAGCATTTAAAATCAGAAAGCACTTATCTGAAATCTCATATAGACCAATCCCACTTCTTATTTGTTGGTGGGAAGAGATCTGTTGTATACTGTCTTTCTCAGATACTTATGAAAACATCTGCGTTCAGTCCTACACGTAGGATAATATGACATGACTTGTCTGAGCTAAGGGCACTCTTCCACATTTGTATCATAGCTCCTGAAGGGTAGTTGCGGGCCAAAACCAGAAAAATGATTGCCTGGTTTCCCATTCCACCTTCAATGGACACTTGAACTTCAAGAAGAGGATCATCTTGCCAGCAAAATAGACCTGTGTTTTTCCTAATCTACAGAATACCTTTGTAAGTATCTTAGAAACTGAAATGAAATTTGGAGGGACTGGGGACAATGGTGATGACTATGCTGACAATAGTGCTCAGTGACACACTGAGAATTCTTATTCTTAGAGCCTCTATCATGTGAATCGCATTCTGCCTACATCTCCTGAACATGCTGTTGCCAAAAGCAACGGTGACCCCATGGAGCAAAAGTCCTGATAATCATTAGGGCACACTCAGTCAGAATTTAGGAATTTGATATATTCTGGCTTTAATGAGATTTCCTCTTGATAAACTAAACTTTCTATGAGGGAAGAGAGGGGGACTTTACAGGTAAATTAAATGAAGAATTGGCCACTTCATCTAAGAATGGAAAGCCAGAGAGACAGGAATGGTGAGTGTGGATTACGGATGAACTAATTACAAATTTATATGAGGTTTAAAGGAAAGACAAAAGACTAATCAATTTTGGTAACTATTTGTAAATCTGTAGGTAAGCATCATGACCTTGGAGTTAATTTTTGTAATTAAAATATAAAATACTATCTAGCACTGGGAGCTCTCTTAGAGATCTTTTAAACTTTCATGTTATAAAGACCAGGCTTTAAACTCAGAGAAGCGAAATAAATCAGTGACTGCCATACAGCTGGTTACTAGCAGGGCCGGGGCGGGCATCCTAATTCCCCTCTGTCAGCTTTGAGAGGAAAGTGAGTTTTCACAGAGGCTTCAGTACTGAACAGATTAAGCAGACTGTGGCAGATGGACGTTGTTTATTACAGCTTCTATCAATATGTACAATTATTGGGAAGTAACACGCGACTAGGGTTTAACATTTACTCGCCGACATCTAATTTTTTACTCAGTCTTTCTTGTACTGCTTGAGGAAAGCTAAACATTTTGTAAACAATACAATTTATTTTCCTGAAAGGTTATATAATCAAGTAAAACCAGTCACTGGAGCTTGTTTAAAAACCTTCAGTTAAACTTTATTTTAACAGCAAATTACTGTCTTTTGGTAACTTGCTTTCTACCAGTTCCAGCCACATAAGGATGCCAGAAGTGCCTCCTATTATGGCTTCTTTGGGATGGTGTTATCCCAGCTCGAATGCTGAATTCAAGGAGCTGTCTCCTCCCCACACTGGAAGTTGCTGATAGAGTCAGTGCGCGTATCAACATAGTAATCTTCAAAAAGGAAAGAAAATGTGGTATCTACATATAGTGGGGTACTAGTATACCATAAAGATAAACTTGAGTCATTTGTAGGAAGATGGTCCAGTTCGACACCATAGTGTTAAGTGAAATAAATCACCCACACACAAACATAAACATCACATGGTTTTTCTTATATGAGAAACCCAAATTATAAAGGGCAAAATAAAAGATAAATAACAAGAAGTAGGGAGATAGAGCTTTCTTAAACGGGAAGGGGATCAAGAGATGGGGAGGGGAAGGGGGAGAGAAGAGGGAGAAGGGGAGGTAGGATGTGTTATGCACATGTCCCTCTCCACAAATGGAATGTAAACATGTACTTCAAACATACTAGTAAAATTTTTTAAAAATAGCAAAAAAAGATGTAATTGTTCTAAATGCCTATAAACCTGTAGTTGTTGTGTCCTTTTTAAGTATACACTTGCTTTTCCTTTTCTATGCTCTTGGCCTGAGAACAAAATAACTGTCACTGCGGTCAGACCAGCTATCTATTTGTACTAGATTCTGCAAAGTTATTTTATTCTTTTTTTAAGCTTCAGTAACTTTTTTTTTGCTTCCTTTCCTCCCACCCTTTCTTCCTTCCCTTCCTCCCTCTTTCTATTCCTCCCTCCCTCCCTCTTTCCTTCCCTTCCTTCCTTCTTCCCTTCCTCCCTCTTCTTTCCTTCATCCTTTCCTTCTCCTTCTCCAGCTCCTCTTCCTCATCCTCCCCCTTCTCAGGCCTTACTGTTAATTCACACATTGTCTCTGTGTAGGGTGAGAGGTATCCATGGGTCTGTGAAGGTGTATGGGACAAGTCTCTACCCAAGGAGCCCGGGGTCATTTTACAGAAGGGCATAACTGATTTCTCTATGATTTACATCCTAAGGTTTGACATATACTATAAGCAGCTTGAGTGTTCTCTCTCAGAGATTATCAACTATGCTCTCCTTGACTTCTCAATCTAGTTTTACTTCTAGCCTCTAATACTTCAGAATAGAAGGTCTTGTTTAGTGAGGGTCTCCTGAGGTCCCTTTTGTTCTGGTGTTAATGTATTCATGTTGTGTACTGGAAAAAATGTCCCTTTTGTTGAGAAAGGGGGTTTAAAAAGTAATTTCTTGTAAGTATTATTCTGCGTAATTGACCTGACCCTAATGGAACAGAGCAGAGAGGTACAGATTTACTCAAAATCCCCGCTGCTGCTCTGTGAGGTTCTCCCTCCCATCTGATGTGTGTGACCCGGGCTGGGCTCAGAGAGTGAGAGGAGTTTTTGACTGAAACAGAGCGGCCACCATACATTTCCAAGCAGAAGGTCCGACAAATCAGCTTCTATCCACAATGAGATGAACAGTTCTTCACACCCATGAAAGGACAGCAAAAAAGAAAGAAAAATCCTTACAATCTGTAATAATATACATATATATGGAAGGAAAAATTTCTAATTAACTTCGGAATCCAGAGGATAAGAACAGATGAAGTAAAAGAAAAAAAAGGGACTCTACTAGGGTTTAATAATAATTTATATTCTAAAGATTTGGGGAGATTTGGGAACAAAGATGCTAAGGGAAGAAATCTGTTCAAAGGAATTTAATTATTTTAAGGGGACAGACATGTAGGAGTAAAGGACAGACATGTACCCAATGGAAAATGTGAATTTTAATTTGAAACTCAGCATGTATGAAAGGGGTTAGAAGGAATGATTTCAGGGCATTATTTCTCAATTTAGTCTCTCTCCTTCCATTCTCCTTAACCTCTCTTCCCTGTCCCCTTCTCTCTCTTTCCAGAGTCTGCCACTAGACTTGCCTTCTGCACTACGCACCATGCATTCTAGACAAGGCATGATTGAAAAGAAAATGAACTGTACACTATTACCACGGATTGCAGTCCCTCTGGGGAAGCAAAAATGCATCAGGAGACCACTTAGTTTCATGTGTTAGCAAAGGAAAGCCTCTAAGTGGTCTCTGGCAGGAGTTTACATAAGCTAATGAATAAAGAAAATAAAAGCTTATACTTCATTAGGCTGACAAGAAATCAATCACATTTGATGAACTAGTAAATCTGATTTAAATGCCAGGGAGTTCCCTAAGAGTACTTAAATTTGCTCCACCTTCGTATACAAATCCCACTGGTACCTGTAGTTACTACTCACAGTATCAGTCCTGGGAGTTCATGGAAAACCACATTCACAATCAGCCTATTAACTTTTTTTAAAAAATTGCACATCTTGGCCACTGCTTGAATTGTTTATAACAGCAGTGTGTTTAATTGCTGCCTGCTTTCTTGGGTTCCGCTACTGTCGTTTCAAGAAAAGAATATTGGCCTAAAGATCATGTGCAGATAAATACAATACGCTCTATGGAAGGCCAGCATGGTGATGTGCAACCTTGGCTTGACCACTGTGTTAGCTTCCTGACCCCTTGCCGCATTGTGCCGCATGTAATTTAATGCTCACATAATTTAATTTTGTCTCGGAGAAGTAGGTAGATTATATATATTTCACTCATTTTTAAATTCACATTTTAAAAATTAGGTGACTTCTCCCAGTATAAGAAGGGGTATTCCTGAAGTTTTTCTCAGTTCTAGGATACAAAATCACACATAAGAAACAGTATCTTGTCTGGATCAAGTACTATGATAGAAAGAACCACCGGACTGTACCAGCCCATATTCTGAAGGAAATCTGCCTTCAGTACTTTGCAGAATAAACCAAATCACCTTGGGTAAATTTATAATCTCAATCTTCTAGCAGTTTCCTAATCTACAAAGTCCTTCATTCTTTCAACTGTTGTTCTTATAACAGGGTGTTTTAAAGTGTTCTTTTTGTATTCCAAAATTCTGTGGCTCTACATCTGTACCTAACTTTCCTAATTAGAAAGTTCTTTGATAAAAGGGGGGCAGTTTAAGTGATCATTATGGGACAGAATGAGAGTGTACTCACTAGCAATACTAGCATAGTGAAATTCTTCCTTTGTGTTTGCCAGGAACTTAAGGTTATACTATTAGAACACGATAAAACTCTTTTAGCTCCCATTTCTACAGTAAGCCATAGTCCTACTGATTTCAGGATTACTTGTGCTGTAAGTAGAAGATCTCTTGTGACTATAAGTAAATTGTAATAGATATAAAACAGCAAAAAAAATCATTCATAGAATATTCATACCTGGATCAAATTATCCCATGATTATAAAATCCACAATGGATTCTAATCTCTTCTATGACAAAAATCCTGTCTGCTCTCTCCTAAATGTCTTCATAATTAGTATAACTTCACCAAATATACATACAATATTTACTATGTTCAAGATTTCTAGAACTGGCTGTTGTTTATAAGGTGAAATATTGTTATATTTAGTGTTAATTAGATTTTGTTGACTAATACAAAGACAATTGGAAACAATACTTTAGAAGAAAACTTGTGTGAAAACAGTCTCTTCAGATATTTTAATTTCTTAAATTTGTAATGAATTCAATATAGGAGACTGAAAAATGATCATGGTGCTAGTAAATCTGCTTGGGAATAACATTTAGAATACCACTACATTTTACCTCCTTGGATGACCCACCCTTATGAAAACTCAAAAGAAAATATGACTGCTATGTTCTTAAAATATTTTAAAAGGAGTCATTTGTGATAAAATATCAGAGCATTATACATTTCTGACAGCAAACCAGCTCCCTGCATCAGGAAACTTGTTTTAAAACCTGAGATGATTCCAACTTTTCCCCATTCCACTAGAAATAGTACATAGTGGCTTAGTAAGTCACTTTTCATTGTCCTCTAAAATTAGGGGTGGTTATCATATGCTTCCCTTTAGGACTTCAGTTTTGAATTATTAGTTAGCTTTGACAAAAATCTTCTCTAAAATTTTGCACGTCATTTTAAAATATTGTTTTTTTTTAAAATATGTCATTTAATGACAAAGAAATAAGGATGGGGGGTGGATAAGACCAAAAAAACAAAGGCAATTCACAGATTTCCTAGAGATGAGTGTTACAAGAGAGATTGGGTGTCTGTGCTGGAAGTAGTTTAAAAAAGGCAGCTGAAACCCTTGGGCCCACACGTGTTGGAAAGGCAACCTAGATGATCTAGTCCATGTGCCAATTCATTACTGCCTACCCATTCCTTTGGGATATGTCACCATCACAGTTAATAGTAGTAACTCAGCAGGGTCAGGGATGTTTTTACATAGTTTTCTCATTACTCTTTCC